ACAAGAGTGTCCCGCAAGAGTAACTCACAAGAGTGTCCCTTAAGAGTGTCCCACAAGAGTGTCCCGCAAAAGTGTTCCAAATGAGTGTCCCACAAGAGTGTCCCACAAGAGTGTCCCACAAGAGTGTCCCGCAACAGTGTCCCATAAGAGTGTCCTACAAGAGTGTCCCACAAGAGCTTCCTACAAGTGTCCCACAAGAGTGTCCCGCAAGAGTGTCCTACAGGAGTATCCCACAAAAGTGTCCTACAAGAGTGTCCCACAAGAGTGTCCCACAAAAGTGTCCCACAGGAGTGTCCCGTAAGAGTGTCCCACAAGAGTTTCCTACAAGACTGACCCACAAGAGTGTCCCACAAGAATGTCCTACAAGAGTGTCATTTGGACATATGTAGCTTTTCGATCGTGCTTGCATTCGGGTTCGTGGGCTCCATCTTGTTTGGTGGATGCATTTTCCGTTCTCTCAGACGGTGCCGCGTTTTCACTTTAGACGACTTGTATTGGTTGTTTGCTGCATCTTACTCTCTTCGGTTTGCCTACACACGCACTCAAGTCTGGACCTTCTCTGGCCTTCCAATATGAGGTCTGCTGTCAAAAATCGCATCTTCGACAGTGCTTGGTTGGGAGGAATACTGCTGGAGGTTTGGGACTCAAAAGGGCCCAGGCTGGCTTCTGGTGGAGTGACCGAATATGGTCCCACTCTGTCGCAAGCGGCCGGTATATTGACGACGTTATATGGTTGAGCCGATCTTTATGCGCTGGGTGCATGGCCGAGGGTATAGCGCAAGCTTATTCGGTCCCGTTCGAAATTGAACCCCCTATAAATGGCAAATTGGTTTGGCTTGACTTCGTGATTTGTTTGCATACTTTTGGAGCCCCAAGCGAAAGATTTTTGTCCCTCAGCTGCCATGGGCTGCCTCCAGCCAGTACGCTTTCAGCGTTCTGGCAGGCAGACTTGCACGTTGGCGGGAGATGCAACTGCTGCCAGAAGATTTGGCCGAGGCTCTTGTGCATTTGTTCTGTGACTTCACGAGGGCTAGCTGGAAAAAAAGACACTTCCGCAAATCCGTGTACAGGGTCGCCCAACGTGTCCCTGCCCACAGCCGAATCCTTGTGTCTGCCTTCCACGCTTGCTTCCTGCAACGATGAATTTTGCTGCTCAGAGCACGCCCAAAGCCTGCTGTGTTAGCCATGCCTTAATGGTGGTGCTGCTTGGTGCTCTTCGCTGGTCTGGCTTGCGCGGCCAGACACAATGGTGGCAAAGGGTACTGTAAGCAAAAGCAGCCTAATTTTGGACGGGCCAGGCCTCCCGGCCAGCCGCCCGTCGTGCGGCTTAAGGTTGCCGTCCGGGGGGACAGGACATAAACAATCCCATAAGCGGGACAAATGCCGGCACGGCGGCGGCCACCGTGACTATAACAGTGACCGGCCGCGATGGGCTCACAGGGCTGCCTCCGGTAACCGAAGAAAGAAGGATCAGGACAAGAAAAAAAAAAAATATCGCAATCCCTCTCCCTCTTCTACTTCTTCGTCTTCCTCTTCGACGTCGCCAGGGCTGAAGAAAAGGCAAGCAAAGAAGCAAGCCAGGAAAGCAGCTAAGGTTGCCCAACGTACAGAAGACAGATTAGTCGCTGAAATCCAGAAGCTCAGAGAAACCTTGCGGCCGGCAGCTAAACCTGTAACACCGGCGAAGCGGGGCACGGAAGCCAACAAACAGCAATTTACGCCAAAGACCAAATCCCACCTCCAGATTCTCCTTTCCTTTATGAGGGAGGACCAACTGACGCATCTGGTTGATGAGGCCAACATGCACTCGATCTGGAGGAGCACTTGCACGGTTGCACCTTGGCAGCACTCAAGGAGTTCTTAGGAACGAGGTTCCCTGAGCAGGAAGTCCCTATGAGGAAAGCCACTGTCGTGACCAAAGTAGACGCCTTGCCGAAATAATGGCAGGAATGCAATGTCCGCTGATTTCCGGCGATGCTGAGTTGCGCAACAGCTAGCTCCTTTCTTTGTAGGTGCCTTGCCCCCAACCAAAATTCATGGGAATGCAGCAGCTTTTGGCCTCCAGCTGCCTATGGCGTTACTAGATGGTATGACGCATAGTATACCATTGCCATTCGAGACACGGATTTCATAGCTGGGGTGGATGCTGCCACCGGCGCCAATCTCCAAATGCAGTTAAGCCTAGTCAGCGTCAGTGCAATTTCGCTTGCCTGGATGAAATTTAGCTGGCGGATTTCTCACGTTATTTTGCCTGTTGAGCAGGCTATAGCATGATAGTCGGGACAATTTGTATCTCCCCCCAATATTTTTTATTCCTGATTTGTTATCTTTGGGAATTGGTAATATAAGAACAGGGTGATCCCTACACCCATTAAGAGGAACCCTTTTGTTTTATGGGGGTAATGTTATGTCCCCCGTCATTTGGATTTTCCCCTCGTCGACGTAGGCCTCTAACGTAACTTGTATAATATCTAATAGGTGGTTTTTCGTTATTCGGTTTCGGTATCCTTTTTCTTTGTTCGTTTCGTTTTGTTTTTTTTTCAATCATATCATCGTTCGGGCCCGGGATGACACAGCTGCTAACACGTATTCGAGAAGTATGCCAATTTCAGACTAATTTAAGTAATTAGCTCGTAAATGCGATTTTTAAACATTTTTTGTTTCGTTAAGCAGAGAAATAAAACGATAATACACCGACAAATTACATATTTAAAATATCACCACATTATTTTCGAGAAGTAAATCAATCTAAAGCATTATACATTTATCGGTAGATTCAAACCGGTGCTCAAAAAACACCGCTCCGCACGCGATCGCGGGCTCTAAATAGAAAAAATGCGATAATATTGTTTATCGTATAAATCGTTAAAATAATTTTCCATGGAAAAAAAAATAATATATAAAAATTATATAATTAATCGTTCCTTATATAATTAATAAATAATTTATTATAAATAAATATATATATATAACGAAAATTCCGGAAATTTCCTCATATTTTTATTATTGCATTATTCGGCGTCCATAATATCATTCGCTTCATCAAACCCCATTTTCATTGTTTTTCTAATCGTCGCTTTAGAATGTTGTTTTCCACCAAATTCCGGATTCCCCCTTTCAACATCTATCTTTTCGTACCCTCCCCCCTTAATTCATTTCGTTCGTTCTAAAAGCTCAAGCCTAGCCTATCGGCTGCCTTTTGTAATATACTATATTTTCAAAAGAATCAATTAATATTCAGATATGTTCAAGAAAAATAATTGCCGAGCCTCAATCACAATCGTCCCCTTCACCACATCCTCTTCATCAATATAGGTAGAGGATTCCGAAGCCTTCTTCTCCAGGCGGCTAACCTCATCTCTGGCCTTAAGCAATTTTGCTTTCAGCCACTTCTTGTCTGAGCTTCCCTCGGAAGAGCAACTTTCTTCCCTTCGCTGACACTTTAACAGCCGGGTCCATTTAGGGTAAGCCCTCTTTGCTTCTCTCTTTGCCAGGCACGACCCTTCTGTTAGGCCATGAACCCCGGTGCATTGCTCCCCTCAAATGCCCAGGCCGGGACCTTGTTGTCAAGTTCTTTCTGTCAGCACCCTGAAGATCCTGAAGTTCTCGATGTGGATGGAGGCTCCTCTTTTGGTTGCCGGGCAGTCGATGGTGGCTCCTTCACCAAAGTGGTAAGCGCACTTGGCCACCAGTCTATGGCCGTCGCCTTCTGTCATCCACCACCTCATATGTTGGTCGCTTGCTCCCACATACTTGCCCATCACCCAATAGCCTTGCTCGTTAGTGCCAATGGGGTCAAGAACCTCCACAATGATGGCTCCCTGCGCTCGCGCATCATCGTCACGTATGGCCCCTCCAGCAACGACCCTGGCTGGAAGCAGTGGCCATATTATCACTTTTCCTGGTCTACACCCTCCGCCACCGGCCACCCACCGGCCACCCACAGTTGCTTCAGCCCAGAGCTATAGAAGAGCCGTCGACATATCTTCGTGGCTCCACTTTGTGTCTAAAATAAATTAGATTCAACAATATATGTTATTCAAATATACATAATTTGTCGTTATTTCTTATTTTGACCAATTATTGATAATAAGAATATCCAGATTCAGGATTGAGATATATTCCTATGCGAAGGGATTTGTGCATGGCAAACATCTGATGGTTGAATATGTTTTTGGTTTCTGTCCAAAACACGCAATGGCAACTTTGCGCCTCTTCGGCCAGTTGGAGCATCAAGCCTGAGGTTGTTTCCAAAATTGTCTAAGTTCAAGCAAACTCTGTCAAACATCTTCATAGTTGCACACTTACACATATTTCTCCCAGACCCCAGTATGTCTTGGCCTTACTCCACGCATGCCCACGCTTTGAAGCGTGGTTCTTTCTTGACTGCGATTCGTTAAAAACGCTTTGACATTAGCCTGAAAGGTAGGGACTTCTTTGAAGCTCTCAGGTGATGGCTGCATCCCCTCTGCTGCGAGACCGAGGGCGCATCTCCTGTGGAATTCGAATTTGCTCTTTTCTTTCAGCAACCCCGTTTATCCATTTAGATGAATGTGGCATGAACAGTTTGCTAATCTGGTTTGTGCTTTGGTGATATGCTATGATGCCTTGTTTCCTTGTTTCATGCAAGATCTGTTCACCAAGAAATCTCCTCGCGGCGTGGCCCTGACAGCAGTGCAATTTTCTGTGCACATGTAGGCCCCATCTGCTTGTCACTGGCTATGCATGAAACACTCAATAGGAAGGATAACATTGTCCGAGATTTCACAAGCTTCTGCAAAGCTCGTATTCAGTAAACAAGGTGATGGCGTATGAAGCAGCTCATTGTTGTGCATCGTTTGTTAACCACACTACCACCACAGGTGTACAAAAGGGCACACAGCCAACAACGATGACGACAAGAACACAAGTTATGTGACAGCAGTCCTTGAAAAGGCGACAGCAAAGTATCGAATCAAACTGGACTGGAAGATCTTGAAAAATAGTAGTCATAAATCCCCGTACACATCATTCATCACCATTCCCAGTTCCATTTCATTCTCTTGATTGGCTCTTGCGAAACTCATGAGCGGGCCTGGGGGGCGGCGGCCATCCTCATAGCGCTCTTCTCGGCGTCCATCTTCACGGCGATAGTCATCCTGATGAAAACCGTGCGCAATTCACCAAAAACCTCAACTTGACTTGATATTTAGCTTTAGATCACTTTTGAAATCTAAGCATAAAAAAGCCCGCAAAGCCGGGAAAATACCTGTGACAGTGGAGAGGCAGAAACCAAGGAGTGCCGCATGCTGGGAATCGGACCTTGGCGCGATAATGACGCCCGTCATCACGGCCTGTGGTGGCTTCACACAGGACTGTTCATCCTAACGTACATGAGTCAGTCTGCTGGGTGTCGTGGAGGAAAATAAGCCATGCAACAGCAAGCACATCGCAGGATATTACAGGTGTCATTTCTGGGCCGATGACATTTTTCAATTCACAGGGTCTTTTGGCCAGCACTTGCGGGATTTTCCTGTCTTATCATGTCCTTTAGGCTAGGCATCCCCAGAATACAGGATGATCTCCACCGTAAAGGGACTGAAAGGCTGGCCTTGCCGGCGATCATCTTCATAACGTTCATCATCGTGGCGACGATCTTCGCGGCGATAGTCTTCCTTGCACTTTCAAGAATGGGCCTAAATCACCTTTGTATCTAGTAGCTTCTTGCTACTAGTAGCGATGGCCCCAACCTAATAGCGATGGCCTAGACCTAATAGCGTCCTTGCTACTAGTAGCCAAACCTGTGATCACTTCATCAATTCCCCCAGGCTCAAACAAATCCATCAGCATTGCAGGTACCAGTGCCGTTTCCGCAGCAAAACGTTTCATGTTGCATTCCCAGTGCTTAATTCTACAAATCACTATGTTAGATTGTAGAACCCAAACAAGCTTCGCAGTAGCTCTCAGACTTGGAATGACGGATCTTCGGCATGTGAGTGCAAATCAGCATCTACATCCCAAAGCCGCCTTGCCCCGATAGTCTCGATCACGACCTCGCCCATCGTCACGACCTCCACCTGCATGATCTTCGGTATTTAGAAAGGTCCATGGTGCAAACAGGTGTGGCAGACTGGACAGTCCAAAAAAAGAAACGCGTGGCATTATCAAAGACCCGCTTTGGTTTTCACTGATCGCCAAATGGGCCAGCCATGAACCCAAACATGAAACCAGCAAACAGGCCAGCGATCTTCCATCGCCTTGCCTTCTCGCCTTCGTCGATCCTTATCATATCTTTCTTCTTCCCGGCGATCATCGCGGCGATATTCTTCCTGTGCCAAAACAAACTTTGAATGCCAATTGCCAATCATCCTCATCAGATTCTTATCCTTGTGAAACCAAGATTCCAAATTGACCTGAAAAACCACACGCCAATGGATGCAACTTATCCTTGAAACACTTCCTGCAACAAATTGGTGCTCTCAGACCTGAAATCTGTCGGAGCATTGCACAGGCAGGACAAAAGTTGGCAACAAGCCTGTGAAACCCTTTTCCCTTGGAATCACACAGGGGATCACGATCCGTCGGTCCGTGGAGTTCCAGCGGGTTAATTCCACCCCGATGTATATGTGTTTATAGTAAATTATATTTAGTTCGAGGTGGAAACTCATCTGCCCGAAGTCTGTTGGGAAAGAGAAGTCATGCCAAAGAGATTCGAGTGTAGTTGTTACCAATCTTTCTTCCTGCTGAAGAGCGCCGGTACCTTAAATCTAATGACTTTGCTACACCTATTTGCCAACAAGATGAAAACCTATAGATATATGGAGGCAAAGACTTGAATGCACGATTCTAACAAAGCACTCCTTTGGACTTCAGAACAGCCTGTGAATGTTACAACTACAACCCTTTCCTCTTAGAATTCTACAGGGGATCACAGTGGAATTCCAGCAGGTTAATTTCCACCCCGAAGTAATCTATAGTATTGTAGTTAGTTCGGGCTGGAAACTAATCCGATCTTTTCCAAAACAAATCATGCTTTAAATTCCGGCAACTCCTTTCAACCCAAATTCTGGAGTCCTTGCGTACATCACGGCGTTCACGGATACGGTTTTCTTCACGTCCTGGGGCGTCTCGCCCGATATAAGTCTCTTAGTCGGTACTTCTGAAGGGCTGAGACATTTGCCAGTTGCCTGTGACACGGCCACTGTTAGGGCCTTTTCATGCTTTCAAACCCTGTCAACATGTTGGCAGGCTGAGATTGAATCCAGTATCAGTATACTAGTATACTGGTCTGACATATCAATAGGACAACTCAAACAAAGAGGATGATGATCATGAAGCTCTCCACTCTCGTGTCTGGGATCAAAAACTCCAACACGGCCTCTTCTCAGAGGTCAAGAATATAGTCCATTTGCTCTTTCTGTTTGAGACGTTTACTTGGTGATGCCGCTGCCTCGTATTATATAAACCTTTCAAAACTCAATATTGTCCCTCACAACGGGATGCCTCGTCCATTGCGTTCCTCACGGCGGTCATCCTTCGTGAGTCAAATTCAAAGCTTTGAAGCAAAAAGACTGGAAGCGAGTGGACACAATGCTGAACCCATGATCAAAAACTGGACAGTCCTCTTTCCGGGTCTTACTGAGGTTGCGCGACCTTAGTGAAACAGCTGCTCACATTTCCACTGGTTGCGGTCCACAAAGTGCTATGAACACGTATGCTTCTGGTTTGCTTTCTGGTTCAGCTCACTGGGATAACGACTGCCGCTTCATCGACCGCGTACTTGATATCAAATAATACTAGTATGCTAAACCTTGCTAGACCAACCCACATGTCTGGATTCAAACGAGAAAATATCTGCCATCTGCATTCTGAATTTTCATGTCTGAATTCATGAATCTTCATCAAACCCTTGATAGTGCAGATGTGCCCACTTCTGCAACATGCATGCCGCTCCAACAAGCTACCTTTTGAACTACTGTTTTACCGCGCTGTCGGACATTGGTGTCGGACACTATGGGGAACCATGAAAGTGTCTATAGTTGCGGGAAGGGTACTCCCCAGGGCTTAACTCTTGCTAGTGCCGTGCTAGCGCGTTGCTAGCTTAAAATATCCGTTGGATTTCATGATGTCTGTAGTTACGCCGTGAGTTATTCTTTGCATCTCTCATTCTCAAGTCCCAAATGCGAGACCGTGCGGAACAATATATCATTGAACAAACTTGAGGAGCGCTAAAATATCTAACACGTATGTATGTATGGCCACACCGATCTCGTGCTTGTGTGCATAGTAGGCTGTTGAAACAGCTCAGAAGACTAGAATATGAAGCCAGTTGTGCAAGCACTGCTGAACACAAACTTTCAGAACCAAAACAAACGAACTTCTTGAACTTGGCAAGAGACACTGTGCACCATACTCATCATACTCTGAGTTTCTGAGGATCACACGCCACATCAAGAAGCTCCGCCAAAAGGGCAACCACCTCAAAGTGGGCCAACTGCCATTTCAAGACTTCTGGAGAAGGAACTGGATTTGGCATGACCCCTATCGGCAAGCAGCTGAACCTTGTCAAAGGTTGCACAGCCTGCTGACTGCAGTGAGGCCCATCACATCCGTTCAATCTTAACAGTGCAGCCCCTGCCCTTCCCAAATGATGCCTACCACCTGCCTGCACAATAATATGGATGCAACTATATGTACAAAACTACCCAGAGATACTTGCTCGCTTCAAACAAGCAAGTGCCTTTTACATAACATTGCCTTCAGGCAGCCTGACCAACTCGTCGCCCAGTCATGCATGATTCAATGCTAGCAAAGCTACTAAGACTACCTTAGCCTTCAAAACAGGTGAAGAAGTAAATAGGAATAAACCCATCCACACAGTCACAAAACGATACAGTCTTAATCAGGTGACCTCCGCTACGATTCCAAATCCCAACAACCAATCAAAACTAACCTATGAGGACTCTTTGGCTCAGAGTATTGAAAAAATAATGTGGAAGGTAATCATCAAAGAGCCTGCACTCACCCATACCCTTGCATCGAGAAGCATCAGCCCCACTCTTGCGAGCCGCTTTGCCTAATTACAAAGTGATGCAATTGAATTGTCTGAAATGAGCAGGCGAACAAATGTGAACAGGATTGCTTCTTGCGAACATGAAAACAAGAAGCTATTAGGGGCTCCTGGCCTTACTACTAGGAGCGAGAACGCTACTAGGGGCTCCTGGCATCGCTACTAGGAGCAAGGACGCTATGAGTTCTGTCCACATCGATCCTGTCGCTCGGAACACTGAATGCGCCTTGCTCGGGCAGTTGGGCAGTCAGCTGGGTGTGACCTTCCCACGTGCAGATCTAGTTCGCTTCAAAACAATCGTTTAAACACGTCAATCCAATAGAATGTTCCATTCTCACGTCTGGTAGCAAGTCTGGGCAAAGACCAGTGCTGCACCAAACGAGTGAAACACCCCAGGTCATCGTTAGCACATGTTAGCACAAACTCTTCTAGCTGATCTGGTCAATCTGGCCAGCACAACTGTTCAACAGACCCGCGTTTCACACCTTTCTCGCTTATCAAAGCCAACCTTCAAAGCGTTCTGAATGATTTCGCACCAGCTCTAAGACCTGCGTGTTTGTGGAGGGATTCCTCACTTTGGGTCTCACAAAAAGCTCGACGTGGATCGAGACATTCTCCCAGTTTCGACAGCAAGGATGTCAGGGTGTTGCATTCGTGTGTAAGGGATTGGCATACGTTGTTGGGAATCTTGTGAATGCATGCGCTGCTGCTTTCTGTGATGGCTGCGCGGAGTGGGCATGCAGAATAAATTCTTGAAGGCAAGGTATGGCCTGTTTCCTTGCAAGAAATCCTGCTCCAATGTCTGGACGCAGGCATATTGCTATGTATTTGTAAGACTGACTTACTGTGCAAAAATGGGCAAACCTCCTGGAGCTCCTCGCGCTGGCTCTTGGCAACCTCGGAGTTCGCACACGCTGCCGTGTAGTAACTACGGTATCTTCGAGTTGTCATAGACTGTTCAGCAACCTGTCATTTTCATCTACTATATGAGTATATATATATATATTTGTTTCAGCCTGGAACACCTTCAGGTTTCAGGCATTTGCGATAAATAAAAAAATATATATATATATATATCATTCTCCTTGCTGCAGGAATTGTAAAACAAACTAAATTATTAAATTGCTTTCAGTGGGTATCAAACGCTTGTGGGTGGCGCTTATGCCTAAAGCATCCTAAAGCATAGTCAACAGCTCGCCAGGTGTAGGACTTTCACAAGTGTCTGCAAGGGTGCGTCCTTGGCGAAGAAACTGCACACACCTTTCAAGTGCGAGTTGTTACTATATAGTTGTCATTTGAGCGACTCTCTTACCCTTCCTTGTACCTGCGTTTCACAATCAGTGTTTTAGCGCTTAGGCAAAAACGGAAGAAACATGTGCCATTGGAGGTCGCTGCGTGCTTTTCATTATTGTAGGGAACAGAAAAACAGCAGCGCTCAAAATGGAAACCTCTGAGACGGAGTCACTCTCATCATCCTCCCGATCAGGAAAGTGAGCTTTCAAGCAGTCCTGCACAGTTTCAACCAAAAGCAAAGAGATGACATGCCATGTACCACTGGCTACGCACCAAGAAACTTGAACATTAAATGCATGTTCCAAGAAGTCATAATTGTCCATCGAACAATTGCACAGCAAAATTGATAAACCAACAGATTCCGATTCCTCTGCAGTGAAGTCGCAACTAGCCACCGTGCGTTGATTCAAATTGCGGCCTGAGGCCCGTTGCTACTCGGGTGCCATGTAGGTTTTTTGAGCACTGCAAATGATGAATGCGAACGCTCAAAAGCATCATCAAACCCCAAATTGAAGGAGTGCAAATCAGTCAAAGGGTCCCTCCAAAGTTGGAACATGTTAATATCAATGTCTAATTGGTGGCAAAGTCCAAAGTGCATCCCAGCATTTTTGCTCAATCACTTTACATTACTTTACATTGCGAAGTTCAACTAACTCAGCTTGTCAACTTGACAACGCTTTCAACTTCGACATACTGCTTCACCAAGAGGTCAACCCGCAATCTTCTCTTCGCAGGTTGCCTGCAGTGTACGGTCGCTGTTCAAATTGTGGCGAACGTGCGGACGTGTGAAGAACAAACACATAGAGACATAGAGTGGTGCTCAAGCTGCCAATTGTTAGGTTGGAAAAGCAGGAATTGAATCATACATACATGCCAAGAGCTATACAACTTATCTCTACTCTGTACATTCTGGGCCGGCAGCTCTATATGCAAAAATTAATCTCACCGCTGGGCAGCGCCTCTTCTCGCCGTCTCCACAGAGTTACTGCTTCCTGCTGTGTTACCGTCTCCATTCACGCTATCAATACCAAGGCTGTGGCGTCTTCGGCTGGAGTGTATTGAACGCTTTAGATTCTACTACGGTGTTTCCTCGGTTGGTTTAGATTCCAATTCCGCCAACACTTCAGGAATCATCATCTCTCCATTCTTCTGGAATGGTAAGCCTCATGCAAGAGCAGTCCTCAAAGTTTCGCAGTGCGTCACTAAAACCATTTTCCCAGTCAGGACCTGTCATGGCATCCCCAGCTTGCCAACGAACATCAAGTGCTGAACAGTTGTTCCAATGGCGTTCATTTTGCAGAATTCAACCAAACTGGCTGCCAAAAACTCTGTCCACTCTCAAAACTGGCTGAAGCATGCTGAAGCCAATTCCTCACAGCTGATTTCGATCTGCAGCGGACCCTCTGTTGGGACGTGACCATCGTCGTCACTTGGCATGGCTGGGACTTAGGTGTAGGTGTGGATGTGCCGCTTGGAAAAACCCTGCCAAGTGGTTTAATATAGATCGGGGCATTCAAGCAGTCACCCTCATGTTTCCAGTTTGCACGACATTGTCTCGATTGTCTCTCTATCAATCTACAAGTCTTTTCATGCTGCAGCCCAAGATCATGTTCCATGAATGTTCCTGTCCCTGTGCCTGTGCATCTATACTGCTGCAGCTGATGCCACCGCAAAGGATATTCAGTAGTTCCCAAAGCCAAACGAACAAAGAACATCCCCTTCGAAATCCAGAAATGGAGAATCCAGAAATGGAGAATCGAGGAATCGAGAAAGCCAGAACTCCCCTTCCCAAACCGACACGAGGTTCATTAGGTGAGGGAAAGCTAACCACCTGCGCAGTCACAACCTTCTTACGACTAGCCAAAATATCTCAAAAAATCACTGCAAGTTGTCTTGGAAGATGTCTCCAGGCAAAGCTATCAACGTAGCCATCATTGCAAGGTCCCTTTCTCCAGCCGGCGCTCTCTGTTGCACTACCTTTGATGCAGTAGACCTCCAGCAGTTTAAGTTTCCGAGCAGTGGATGATCAAGAGTTTCGAGCATTGCGGATCTTTAGGGCTATGGAGCACTGCTTATTCCAATTCTATTCTCAAATAATGCTTAATCCAGAAAATATACCAAATCAATCAAGAAACAATGGCGGGCTGCTACAAAAATTCAATTGGGACTTAGCTCGTCATGCGGTTTGTCCCAAATCAACTGGCGATTGATTCTTTGGCGCAATCACCACGACTCAGGATCTTCCACGCCAAATTCATGTTTGCTTCACAGAAATGCACTTCCGGAGCCTGAGCCCAGGATCTTCAAGCCAAGGGTAGTACCAACATGTTACATGTGAGTGTGGCGACAACATGCCAGTTTGCGTGTTTGCCAGGTTATACACGGAGGAGCAATGACTCGTTTGCTGTCTCGTACTATGATACGTGTCACTCAGGTCTGAAAGTTTCCCGTGGTGCCAAGTCGCCATCTTGCACTGCTCTGTGGACATCTTCCAAAATGCGGGGGTTGGCATCATAAATTGCGTTCATTTGCTTCAGATTCTGTTCCTCACAAGTGCCATCAAATGCGCCAGCAAAACTTGTAACCCTGTGAAGTGCAAGTGGGGCGTAATCTCACGCGGCGCGGACACGTGGGCATCCTCAGAATGTCACAACATTGGACAGGGGTACAAGCAACATCAAGCAAGTTTGCGTGGCAGGTCTCCATAGTCGCGCGCAACTCTTGCTGCTCGCCGACCGGCTTCTGCTTGCTCTGAATCAAAGCCTCGATCTCGTCTGCTCGGTCATCTATAGCTCTACGACAAAAATGTCAATCCTCATATTCAATCGCATCCATGTCTGGTGTACCACAATCCAAATGGGCTGGTTATGCTATGCACTTTTCTTGCCTCTGAGCGCTTTCATTAGTTGGGCAAAGGCTGCGGCCGTATTTATGGTCTTCTCCCACTCCTGGCGAACACGGCAACGGCTGCTCTTGCTGTGAAACTGCAATCTGTCAAGCAAGAGAAGCTTCTCATGGTGAAAGCAATCAAGTAAACGCAAATGAAAACAAACATGAAAGCAAACTCTGGGTACCACACACCTGCATCGCAAGATGGCAGCAAACATCCTTCGACATGATCTGTCCGAGGTGCATTTTTCACTCCGGGCATCTTCTCCATCATGTCCCGAACAACTGGATGCAGGCGCTTAAACAGATTCCTTGGGGCAAAAGGTCTCACAGAACTCAAGTGTGAAAGAATAGGGAAAAAATAAACAGATATGCACGCGTCATGCGAACTCCATAAGTAAGTAATTGGGTACAGCGAGCTGTTCTGCTTTTCTGGGACTTTCCATCGTTCAAGGAGATAGAAAGAAACAGCGCTGCCCTGAGGTCCTACATAGTGAGAAGAGCATGCGGAGATTCCTTCCGCAGGTGCTGTTTCTATCACTGTCACCCAAAGTAAGGGCAACAGCAGTCAAAATGTGTCAAAATGTATCGTAATTGAAGTGGGAACTACTTTGCAACCGAATTGCTCTGTTGTAACATCATCCCATGGACCCTTTGCACCTGGCAGAGGCAAGAAAAGCAGATCATGCAGCGCACTAAAACTGTAGCCTTCTTTGAAAGAACTCATCTATCAAAAAGGGTAGTGCTTTTGCCAGCGCGGTATTCCCACAGTTTGTTTAACCTGTTTTGGAAGAACAACTTGTGAAAGGTGTTTTCATAAATGCTGCATTCCATGCTTGGAATCATTTGGAATCAGCATCTCGAAGGGCCTTTGGCAGAATCATCCAGAAAGGCCGACTGCCGTAGTCGTGGCCCAGATCCTCGCCAAGGAACTGTCTTGTCTCCAAGTTTGACATTTCAATTTGGGTTGTAATTGCTTCAGGAACAACCCGGACACCGTCTATACTGGCCATCTGACCGAACAATTCCAACCCAGTTTACAGGCACTGTGCTTGCAAAGCAGGCATGGCAACGCTGCTTGTTTGTACCTGGTTGCGTTTGGATGTCCTTTTTGGACTGCCAGGTGACATTGCACCTACCCACATACAGCACAAACACCAGTCCTGTTACTCGAAATTTGCATCATACAAATTACATATGTTTTGCCGTGGTAGAGGACTTTACATAAATGAATGGATGGTAAAGAAAAAAAAATATTTGGTCCCATTCAACAAGGCCCCTCAAAGGAGACCTTATTAACGGGTCCAAACACAATATATATATATGGGTGTTGATCTAAAATCCTTTATCCGGGATCCGTCATCTTAGTCAAAAAAAGAATATTTTAGCCAAGCGTTCGCCTTCCTGCGTTTTTATCTTTCGCCGAAGTATGTTGTATTTATGTGTGCCATGTATGTTGTATGATGGATATCAAGTTTGTTCACGTCAATGGCTTCTTCTTTACTGGCAAATACAAAATAAAAACTTCACTGCTTGTCAGCATGTGTCTTCTACTTAACTGTCGACGCCCTGTACGTCTCTTTTGTTTCTCCTGGGTGTCAGCAAGAATCAAAATTGCAAGAATCACTGTAGTAGCCGGTCACTCAGACTTACTCATAATGGGCTGGGCGTCAGATGTGGCAGGGTGAACTTTCGCCAATCTTGAGCTGAGCTTTCGCCAAACTTTCGCCTTTGCGGGGTAGAGTTTTGTGGCAAAGCCACCCCCCCAAAGCAGGAGCAGGAGCAGGAGCAGGCGCAGGAGCAGGAGTAGTAGTAGTAGTAGTAGTAGTAGTGCTAGTGCTAGTGCTAGTGGTAGTAGTAGTAGTAGTAGTAGTAGCTGCAGCAGCAGCAGGAATAGTAGTAGTAGTAGTAGCAGCAGCAGGAGTGTATAGGAGTAGTAGCAGCAGCAGGAGTGTAGTAGTAGTAGTCGTAGTCGTAGTAGTAGTCGTAGTAGTAGTAGTAGTAGCAACAGCAGCAGAAAGAACATCTTTCGCAAAAAAAAACTTTCGCCAACTCGAGAAAAAACTTTCGCCAAATGAGATTTTGATATGTTCCGGGTCATCGTCATCAACAATCCTGTCTAGGACCTTTAGATCGACAACCATATATAATATATATATAATATACATAAATCAATATCATTATTTGTGATTTTTTTTCTCTCTCTCTCTCTCGCTAATGGACATCGGTTGATCGCATCTCGCTTCATTTGCCAACAGTGCAACTTCTTGTACTTGCCAGCCAAGATTCGGTTCTGATACAACGCCGAATGAAAATCTTGTAGAATGCTTGGATTTGAATCATAAATTGCATTCATTTGCTTCAGGTTGTCCTCCTTGGTGACTGGATTTTGCAGCACTGAACAGAAACTCGGAACAGCCAGGGACCAAGAATGCAAGCCCAGTTCATATTGCAATATGTACCTGGTTGTTGAGAAGAAAAATGACAAGGCGACACCAAATACTTTTCTTTTCATTCAAGACACCAAGGTGTCTCGCAATTCCTGCTGCTCTGAAATGCCTTTCTTCTTGCTCTCGAGCATGGCCTCGAAGCATGTCTGCAAAACAAGCTGTGCAAGCCCTAAACATCAAAGTCTCTCCAAACATGTTGTCATCATCCTTCATCCGCGTGTTTCCTTTTCCTTCCAGCTTGACCTCAAAGCTTCCTGTTCAAACCGTTCTTTCCCAGTACAGGAAACGAATGTACCACAGCGAACGTACCACATCCAACCATGTCAAATAACTTTCGGTGTTCTGTGCACAAAAGCTTTGCAACAAAAGCCGGTTGAAAAACATGTGAGGAGTTGAAACATTTTTGAATTAAACCCCCCTCCGTTCAGCGGTAGTTCTTCTGTGTCCGACGCCGAGAGAAAATCCTGCAGCACTGAGCTGTGTGCAGTGCTCATTGTCTTCTCCCACTCCTGCCACAGGTCATCGAGACATATCAAAGCTACTCAACTGTGCTATGGCTAGTCGCAACTCAGTAGGTCATGATAGTTGACGGTATGCTTGGACCATTTGTAGGCCATTGCGGCAAAAACTGCTTGCCAGCCCCTCCCCATCTCCGGCAGGCGCACCACAGCGGCGCCCACCACCCACCACTACCACCATCATCAAGCCATTCATCACCATCATGAGCAGCACCCAAAGAAGCCTTCAGAATAATACTTGAACATTCTTTGAACAATGATTGACATTTCCTGTTGGACATACCATCACACTTTGTGGGGGGTCCCGCTTTGTACTATCAAATTTGTCAGTGCTACTATCTTGTTGGACATGATTGGCAGTTATAAATCAAAAATGATTGAAACTGTGAGGGATGACAGCTACGGTGAAAAGGTAACTTGAAGCTGTTTTCTCTGTGACGCTTGGCAACTTGCCGTCATCCAGCTTCTCTCACATCAATGTCTCAAGAGGCAAACACTGCGATTAACAAAGGAAGGGACGGGCATTTTTCTTTTTTTTGCCTGCCCTTACTTGATTGAGTAGGTGCCTACTTAATAAAGTAAGGGCGACTAGTAAGCTACTAGAAATAGGAAGCTCCTAGCTAGGACACAGGATAGCTTACAAAACTATTTGGTTCCTAGATTTTTAGGGAAACAGGTCCCAGTAGCCGCGTTCCGATGGTGACTGGATTCGTGGAGAATATCGGTTCTTTCCTTTTTCATCTCTTTGTTCTTGCCCTCGTAGTTCCGTTTGTTCAAAATGCTTTGCCTTGCCAAAACTCTCCATCTCATGATCAATTCATACTCCCACTGTAGATCAATGTAGTTCCAACCTCGGTCCTCTATAACTATTACTCTCAATTGATGCCCTCACAAGTTCAGCCACTCCGAATGTAACCAGAATCCAAGCACCAAGCAGTAGAACAGAATATGAGTTAGTTAGATTTTGTTGCAAAGCGGTATGTCCTTCTTCATAGACGGAGTCTGGGTCATCATATCCTGGACCACCGGGTGTAACCGCTTGAAGAGATTCCTTGGTCACTTTGTATGCTGCCTTGAAGGGAACGAACTCCAAGTCCCACTGTGGCATGGCAGTATTCATATACATGTATGCAAATGCAAAATGCGGGTGGCCTTTACTGCAACAAAGTAAGATGGCCGTCTGAATGATACCGAGTGAATCCTGAATGACTGCAGCTGGGAGTCTCGGTGGTAACTCCTTCCCATGGACTCTTGGGCTTCACCACAGGTCCTGGGCGGAAGATCACAGGTCCAAGAAAAAGTGTTTTCTCCTCCAAGCCTGAAACCACCGAATTGATAAAATTCAGGTATGTCAACAGTTAGTTGGCCTAACATATTCCGGATTATGAAACACGTGACGCAGGGAAGTAGGAACAGAGATAGTCTTGGCCACAGTTTTATACGAGTTCAAGGTCAGAAAGAAAGCCTTACATTGGGTGACATCAATGCTTCAATGACATGTGATATGTTGCCTCGACATCTCCTGAACACCGCTCAAAGACCGCGGTTTTAAGTGTTAGCTCATCCGATAACCGCGAAGGAGCGCAAATTCATCATCCGTAGCAAAGATCATTCCATCACTCTGTGCATATACTTGAAGACTAGACTATACTTGTGCAAAATCCTTGTGCAGCCTGAGTTGTTGCTTGCACCAAAATTCACAAACCTCTTCAAGCTTGCATCGCCTCTGAAAGGTTCTGCGTCTGCTCGCTGCTTTAGGCTTTGCGTTAGCTGTCTCTGGTGTGCGGTGTGAAGCAAACATGATCTGCACTGCAATGTCAGCCACCCTGTGATAACGAACACGCGGCAAACTGGCAACCATTCTTTAAATTGTAAAAGTTCCTAGAGCACTTTGCTGCCAAGAATCCATCGGCTGTAAATGCTGTCATCAGCATTTGTGCAAATCCTGTCTGCACATGTCACACATCTGAGTTTTATTGAGTGGTGAAGGCAAGTGGGAAGACTTGTTGATGTAGCGTGTACACCTTTGACTATGGTGTCAAAGTACCATACCACTGCGAACTCTAGGTTTCCACTTTCGAGAACAACGCTAGGAAAGGACATGCCCCTTAGGCTGCTCGTCCAAATCCCCCGCAATTCAACAGAATCCTCCATAGCTAGTAGAAAGCCGGAAGTGCTCGGGTCCTTTCGGCATTGCAACCGAAGCTCCTCAGGAGAATGCAACTAACAGTTTATTTGTTTTTCAAAAATTGTCATTTCTGGCCACCAGCAGCCGCAGCAGTAGCGACAAATACTGACCAATCACCACTACCACTCACTACCACAAGTAACAACTCTGATCTGGGCGTTCCTTGGCTGGTATGGAGAAACGTCGGATACGATCAGTTTGCATCAGTCAAAGCACTGCAACAACTGAGGATGGGGCACGGTGAACACCCACCGCTACGAAATCAAATGGACAGCATTATCTCTCGAGCCAAAAGTCGAGCATCACACTGCTCAAAATGCTGAAATTAGCAGTCTGAAGACCTACGCTAACAAGCTCTCTTTTTCCTTTGTTTTTCCCAACCTTACTTAATCAAGTAGGCGGCTACTCAATTAAGTAAGGGCGGCTAGCCGCTACTACCTACTGGACGCAAAATAGCTCACGCTTCCATTCATTTGGTTCCTAGATTAAGATGATTAAGGTTATAGTATCAAGCCACTCTCCAGGAGTCGGAGTATCATGCAGCAAAAGGCTATAACAGGCCAAATCATGCCAAATCTGAGAAGAGCGGGCGTCCTCAATTCCTATGGATGTCATCATGGAAGATCATGGAAGTGCTTTCTCTGATAGTTCGAACGGGCCTCTATCAAATAACATGTCTTGTCAACTTCTGTCATTAGGTTGAGGCCATCGCAAGTAGGTTGGAGGCCATCGCTATTAGCGTATCCCTTTCATCGACTCCCGTTTCAATGTTTCTCTCCAACGTGTCTCAACCGCATGCTCTTCACGCAGCTGTTCCGCTCCTCCCTAAAGGAGAATCGGCATGGATTACGGCGAAAAAAGATGTTGTTCGCTGAGACCATGTTGGACTAAACACTCCAATGTTGAAACATGTGTCTATCAGGCTCCACACCAAGGCAGTACGCCTATGACTATGACAGTACATAAATGCAAAATTGAACCAATTGCACTCATTATGCGCGTCCTTGTCTGCTACATAGTGCTATATATATATACATCACATCAGTGCATGTTTCAAAACCTGATCAATACGCGGACTACATACGTACGGCAATGTTCTGGTGCCAGGCTATATCTACCCCGACTCAAAATTCACTGCTTTGAGTGCTGTTGCCTTTATGGTATTGATATCCTTTGCCGAGACTCAGCGCAGAAGGGCCTATCTTAGATAATCTTCAGGCTCCAAAGGAGCTAAAGGTGCGGCGTCACCAAAGTAGAGCTCCAAGTCCTGCATTCTTCCATGTTGCATGGTTTTGTTTACCTTGAGGGTGTGTAAAAACAATTATGCACTCACCCCTCACCCAGGCTGCTCTTTCTCGCAAATGCATTTTGACAAACTATGACCACATCTGACAAGTGGATACAAAATGATACTAATGGGACAACCTTTCGCTACCAGGAGCCGTTCTTTGCCAAGCTTGAGGTCAGAAGCCGGACCGGGCGGACAAGCCCTTGCAAGCCTTGCCAGGTACAAGTATCTAAGAGCGTTGCTTCCCTACCGAATGCCCGATGTCCCTTTTCAACCACAGTGACAGTGGCAGGTGAAGCTTTTCTTGCTGGGCCCCTTCACTGTCTTTCCTCATACTTAAGACTTAACATGACAACTGGGCCCTTTTCTTCTGGTGCTATGGGTGTGCCACCATTGGACCATTGGTATGGGGAGTTCCTTCGTTGATGTGCCCGGGCTTCCGCATTCCTCATGTCTGATCTTGGAGAACTTGGAAGGTCTCCATGGCAAGGACGGCCCGGATGGCACCATATTCAGGCCTTGCCAAATGTGTAACAGTGCAACAGACCTGTACTTGTCCAAAACCCGTACAAAACAAACCAAAAAAGGTCATGTACAGGAAATGTCGGACATGAAACATGTCTTGTCTCCGAACAAGGTGTTCCAGCGGCATCCTGCATGCTCAGTTACCAGATGTTACCAGAATTGTTGGCCTCTTCTTGCGCAAATGAGTGGCACTCCTTCAAAAAGTGAACCACGGCAGATTTCCAAGATGCCCTCGTGATCTAAACACAAAAGATTACAGTATGCTGTTCTGGCTTTGCCCAGAATCTCTGTTCCTAATAGCTTCTTGCTCCTAGTAGTAAGGCCAGGAGCTCCTAATAGCGTCCTTGCTCCTAGTAGCGATGCCAGGAGCCCCTAGTAGCGTCCTTGCTCCTAGCTGTCATGGCAAACAGCTCTCCTGTGTGATGATGTGAAAGTTCTGGGATCACAGAGATGTCGTGCCTTCAGGCACTTCTGCAGGTTTGGTGGACAAAAAGTAGGGTAGGCCCGGGTAGGCGGTGAGAGGCGTGTTGAGGACACTTGCTCCCAGGTGTCAAAAAGCAGCTTTTTTGGACAAAATGGACAAGTTGATGCAACCTGACAGGTGACCTGCCCAAACATATTTTCCAGTTCCCTCACTGCTAAATGCTATCACACGTAAATCAAAACGCACGCTGCTCATGTGGCTTCGTACCGATAATTGCCAGAACTCATGGACTATTTGATGCTACTATGATTGGTTAGGTCCGATGGATTCTTGCGGTTTCTCCCTTTTCGCAAAGCGGTATGCTGTTTGAGGGGGTTGTGCAAACCACAGGCCACTAGAAAGGCATGATCCTAAATCAAACAATGCGCCTGCCTTGGTATCTAAGATTGTGACTCACCAGAAACCAGGCCACAGGCTTGCAAGCTGCTGTAGTCCTTAGACGGAAGGTACTGGAGGTGTATGTTTGTTCGAGTATAATTCAATGGCAAAAGTCGCCAAAATGCGGACAAACAACTGGCAAGCACTGCATGCGCCAAAAGAAGCGCTGGTCCTGCAGCTGCTTCGGGGGCTAGTTCTGTACTTAGTGTTGAAACATGCAGGCTTCAGTGATCTGTATCTCTACATATTCAGATCTGAAACCTCTGCCTGCAGGAAAACCACTGGGATGCAGGAGTTGGGCAATCACTGATCTCTCAGCCATGCTGGGTGACTGGGTGTAAAAAAAACTAGCAGTCAGTGTGTAAGTGTATACAGTATGTATATATATACACATACAGTAACTGTAACATAATTTCAACACAAGCATGTTCTAAACGGCGCTCCGTTTGTTGCAAGAACTGCACTCGATAAAGTGAGAAAAGTCTGTCCTCTGGTGCAGCATCGAGCTTTGCTGCCACACCTTCCTTTAGCTCCTGAACCTCAGAGCGGCCCAGTGCAACGAACCAACAAATTCGAACAGCATCCAAGTGCTTCAGAGAAGCCTTGGTGCTAAATCATTCAGAAATTTGTCCACGTCTCAGAATTGCAAATATCCTTGTTGTGCTTTCTACTAAGGCATGTGAAGGAACTCTGACCAAACAAACACAAGTATTACGTCCCTGACAGGGATGTCCTTATTGTTCAGGAAACCTGCACCGCTATTCATGTTGTTGGTCAATCCAACTGAAACTGCAAAGTGCAGTCAGTCAGGTGTGCTTGCTGAATTCGGCATCTTGTCGCATCATTCTCCGGACAAAGGAAAGCAAAGATAGACAAAGCTGCTTGAATGATAAACTGTGTGGGGCAGGGCACTCAAAAAATGTGTGCTGGAATTCTCCGTTCGCTGCAAATTGCCAAGCTGCTGTCATGGAAGGATCTAGCTGCACTTCAGCAACAGTCACCTGAGAGTCGTTAGAAGGATGGGCTATGGCCAAAGAAGTTAAACCTGACTGAATGCAACAAATATGTTTGGTCAGCAAGTTACGATTCTGTGTTTGTGTGTCCGTTCTTCAGGTTCGGGCCCCTTTTCTCCGAAGCCGCAGTCGCAACGGGGGCCTGCGGGCTGACCGATAGAGAAGAATGAGGAAACACAGCCAGACTTTAAACAGTCGATGCACTGCAAGAACACTGCTGTACCGACGTGTAAATCAGTATGCCTTACTACACAACAATGTCAAATTGCTCACTCTTGAACGAAAGTACAGTACTGGAAGTCGTCTGGGCCCACTCTCCAAAGGGTCAAAGTGCAATCATACAGAACCTGGTATCCCTACCTATCTGAGTCACGTGGCTCTGGAATCCTCAGCTGACGAAAGTTTGGCTCCGTGGTTTCCAGGTCCATATCACGAACAGTAACATTCCTTTTGTTGGCTGAAACGAAGGCTCTTGACCACTGTAACAGCACTCGCATGTTCCCACTGTTTTCACTACCTTTCTCTTGCTCACACGTCTGAGTACAACTCAGTGCTGAACGAACCCTCATGGCATTGTACTTTGCTCAGCTTCCTACAGTAGGATGTAGGATGAGTACAAATCATTCCATCTTGAACAAAGCAACAATGACAAACACACGGAATATCAAAAAGCCTTTGTTAGAGGCTCTGAGAGTATGCTGATTTCGCCAAAGTTGGCCAGAAGAAGCTCCAAGTGCTTGTCAAAACTTGTACAATAAAAGAGCTTTTGAAAGAAGCAACGGAGTCAAGAGAGGCTGCAGTTTGTAGAAGGCCAATGAATGGCGGAACAGCTCTTTGACTGCACACTCCGTTCTTTCCTTTGTTTGAACCAAGGAAGAACGTGTTTCTGATTGTATTCACGGCCAACATCATCAAGGCACAAGGGAAGCTCAGGGGAGCTGACCTCAGTATGCTCCCCACCCTGCGAGATTCGGCCAATGAGGACGTTACTAGTAACAAAGGGCATTACTACTAGGAGCAAGGATGCTACCAATAGCTCCTGGCCATACTACTAGGAGCAAGGACGCTACTAGTAAATCAAGAATCAAGAGCTAAGCAGCATTAAGCAGCTAAGCCTCAAGAGGGGTGAGTTCAATTGTCCTTCAGAGTCCTCCATGTAACAGTACTTGCAAAACGCATGAGGATAGCAACATTATATACTGTAACATATATATATAGTATACAGAACCTATATATTGTATAACCTATATATATATATGTTTTTTTATCGTAGTATCTAGCCCATGGATGGTCCAGTCTATATGACAGTGTTTGCTTGGCAATAATTGTGCATCATGTCTGTCAACGTCAATCGCGTTCATCATGTGGATCAATATGCCAAGCAAGTGAAGAGTCTGCTGCCAAGTAAGTCTTAGTGGCAGACTGGCTCAAACGCCAGAGCAGATTCCAGCACCAATCGCTCTTCATGTGCCTTTCATTCCCAAAGATTTGGAACCCCAAAGACATCGAATAAAAGCATGTGATAGAATGATGGGTAGTAGTTGGCTCCTATGGCCAGTGCACAGGTCAAAAGGTCTCTTTGTTGGAGTATCGAGTCAAACAATGTGAGGTTCGTTAAATA